AAATATGGAACCATGTGGAATATTTACATATTTGAATTATGTAATAAACTCGATTTTCTTTCTTTTCCCTTAACGAAAATCAGATCAAATTGTCAAACTAACGAAAACTAGCCATTTAGTTCAAAGAAGGATAAACGATTAAAGTGATTTCCCAAAGTACACTCAGCAAAAGATTTACCCTCAATAACCTAAACAGGTAGAAAATTTGAAAAATAATGTAAAACAACTTCTTATTACACTTATCTGCCAATACTATTGACGTATATGACAATGAAAAAATACTCATTGCTACCCGAAACAAAATTTACCCCACAAAATTGATATTGCCTTTTTTACTAGTTAAGCAAAGTCTATGGTTCAATTACGAACTTTTGAAAAGAACTGTTTTGAAGAAGCTAGACTACCTGGATTAAGTTTCATATACGAGCAGTGACTGCATTTTTATTATTCAGAAAGTGTAGTCACTCCCTTAACGCATACTAAATTCGTTTTTTTCAAAAATTTAGTATTTTGATAATAACTGTGAAAGTAGTTCAACAATTGACGTCGACAATCGTTGAGAACATATAAAAGTTGCATATTTTTACCGATTCAAGCCTTATTTTTGCATGGCCCATTAAGAACTGAGTATTCTTTCATATTTTTCGAGCCACGCTGTTTATAATAATAATATTTTTCGAGCCACGCTGTTTATAATAATAATAATAATAATAATAATAATAATAATAATAGTGACAATAATAAATCAACTTTTATTTTAAATAATAAGAATACATACCGTGAAAAAAAAAACAAAATAAGGAAATAAGGAACAAATTCATTTTAAAATCAGGTATTATATTTCAAGAAAAATGGTAGCACATGTGCATCATATTTTTTCTTACGCATTGTTTGCAGTAAAAAGGAAATATACAGGGCGTGTCAAAAAGTTGATGCTAAGTTCCTTTTTTTTTAAATAGAACATTTTTTAAAACCTTTTTCGAATTCCAAATTCAAAATCTCTACAAAAAAAAAATATAGATGTGTTTTTATGATGGTTTTTTCTCATGCAGCGGGGATTATTTGTACTCAAGTACTTAAAATTTTGTGTATTTACCGTACCATTTATACAAAACGTGGATTCGTCATTAAGCAATATCTGACAATCAATAAATGGATTTAAGTTGCACATTTCCATCATAGTTACACAAAACTGTAGTCTGAGGTTGGGCTCATCTTTGTTCAGGTCCTGTAATAATCTAAAATTGTACGGATAAAACGCAAAGCTGTTCCTCTGCTAACATAATTATTTGAAGCTGCCTCAGAAATTATTGTCAACTTCTAATTAAATGTTTAATCTTGTATTCGGGAACCTGGCTGCAGACGAACTTTTACTATTCTTGCCTCTATAAATTTTTTCTGAATTTTACTCGCTAAAAACACTACAAAATTTTTATTGAGTTCTCGTTTTCTCCTAATCCAATAAAAATTAAAATTTCAATTCTCTGAGTTTCATTTAGATACGCCATATGCATTTTCACAGTAATTGTGACAATTTAAGAACTTTACTGATACTAGCCACTTACCTGTTCATTTCAAAATTAAATTTGTGGTTTTTATTATTTTTCTCCTAACAAGTGAGAATTCGAGAGTGGATTTTAAAAAATTGTGTTTAAAAAAAAAGAACTTGGTGCGGACATCTTCTTTTTGACCCACCCTATATATTTTCTATTCACTGCAAAAAATGCGCAAGAAATGATTCTGATGGACGTGTGCGAGCATTTTTTTTGAGATCAATATCATATTTTAGCCGTTCACTTTATTTATAATAGCAATTAACCAATTTAAATTATAAAGTTCTACACCTCAGGAGCTACCAGGAGAAAGAAAAAATGTGTCCCGTTTTTCAAATAAGCAGGCTTTTAGGCTATAAGGATTATTAGGGAAATATAATTTTAGGATTGTTTATTCCGGTTTTTAGCAAGTGAATGTTGTTAAATTTGCCATATGCACGGTCTTTACTGACAGAAATGTAATTGTGACAATTTAAGAACTTTACTCATACTAGGTACCCACCTGTTAATTTCAAAATTAAGTTTGGGGTTTTTATTATTTTGCTTCTAAAAAATGAGAATTTGAAAATGGATTTCAAAAAAAAAAAGGAACGTGCTATGGACATTTTATTTTTGACCCACCCCGTATATTTTCGATTTGCTGCAAAAAATGCCCAATAAAAGATTCTGATGGACTTGTGCGAGCATTTTTATTGAAATACTTGATTTTCAAAATAATGTGTTCTATATTTTAGCCGTTCAATAGCAATTAACAAATTTAACTATCAAGAAAGTTCTACACCTCGGGAGATAGCAGGAGAAAGAAAAAATAAAGCCGGTTTTTCAAATAAGCGGGCTAGTAGAATAATTATTATTATATTATTATATCAATATTATTCAGATACTGAATAATATTGATTAATGACAGTATAAATAAAACTTTCTTTTAAACATAACAGTATTATTGGTAAAATACAATTTTGGGCTTTGTTATTGCTGTATTTATCAAATGAATGCCATTGTTAAATTTAATTTCTATTTTGAAGATTTTTAGAAACATTGTGACGTTGCTGGAAAACAAACCATACAAAAAATTACCGAGCTAAAGGGTCCTTCCATTTGACATGTTGACAACATGTTTTTTGTATCTCTTGCATTCTGCCCGTTTCTCATTGTTTAAGGAAACAGGCCGGTATAGTTAAGATTGGAACTGAGACTCACACAGTTATTTTTTTGTTTTAAAACATAACATAATACCAGAATAGAGTAAATTTGTGAGAGAGAAATATATGACTTTAGCACAAGCTTTTAGCATGATCGACAACCTCTGAATCCAGCATAGGAGATCAAGGTTTGATTAGAATCTTAGTAAGAGGACTACTTTTTTTTCTTGTCTTTTTATGGTCTGTTCATAGATATAAGAAAGTGACCAATTGCTTTTGAATGGGATTATCCAAGGGTGGTCATTAACATACAAGGCAAGAAGATTATTACCTAAAGTTTCGGAATTTAAATTCAAGAAAAATTGTGGTCCGTAATAGAAAACAATTTTATACCTATCTGTGTTTAATATTCTTTGGTTTGGTATACTACTCAGTTTAAGTTTATTAGTAATCATTCTTATTGCGTGCGTTGAATGGTCTGCGATTTATGCAAAATATGTGCGAGTCTAGTGCATCTCAGGAGATGCTCCCGGCCAAATGTAGAAAACACTATTCTATTGAGACTAAGGAAGTTATAAACAATGTTTATTTAACTCTCATTGAGCGTGGTGCCAGCAAGCAAGCATCTTTAAAAGAAACTGCCACATTGACGAAAATTCCAACATCAAATGTATGGAAAATTGGGAATAATCCCATTTCAGCGAGGAAAAAAAGAAGCGATGCCGACATTTTCTCGAGTGTAGATGAAAATGATCAAGATATAATCCGGCGTAAAATTTACCAGTTATGCGATGAACAAGGCGTGCCTACGTTAGATATCTTAATTAGGAGGCTTGAAAAAGATGAAATCGGTGTTAAATGTGGCAGACTACCTTATGGAATCTTTTAAAATTCGGAAATGGCGACTGGAATATCTAGAAATAATTAGGATTTACAGAGAACAAGAAAGGCCAATTATTTACCTGGATGAAACTTGGTTCGACACTTATGATACCCCGGAAAAGGGTTGGGTTGACTCAACTGATAAGTGTAAAACAAACGCGCCATCGAAAAGAGGTAAAAGAATAACTATTTTGCATGCTGGCTCTAAAGATGGTTGGATTCCACATGGACTTTCTCTGTCTGTGAAAAATATTAAAGATTCTTCTCTGGATTACCATGAAGACACCAACGCTGATTTATTTGAAAGTTGGTTTAAAAACAAACTAGTTCCAACCATCCCTCCTAATGGCGTCATTGTAATGGACAATGCAAGTTATCACAGTAGACAGTTGACTAAAACTCCTTCCTAACGACATTTATTTTCACGAAGATTATACCAAAAAGCAATTAATTGAGGTTCTACGAAGCTTGGACCTACAAAAAGAATACGTCTGTGATAATTATTCAAAGAAATCTAGGGCATACAGTTTTATGGCTTCCATCTTACCACTGTATATTTAATCCCGTTGAACATGTTTGGCACCAACTGAAATCTGCCATTCGTCGTAACAATGCTTTTCCCCGTGTTAACTCCAATGTCCTCAAACTTATAGAAACCGAAGTTTTTAACATCCCTCCGCAAAGTTGTGCAAATTCTGTTAAACATATAGAAAAAGCAGAACAATCGTATATCCATATTGCAAATAATATAGAACAAATAATAATTAGAACAGGCGATGATAGCGATAGTGATACTGATATATTATGTGAATAATTTTAAGTAATTTAAGTAGGTTATAAAAATAATTTGTAATTTTTATTTTAGATTTAAACATAAATACATGCATAAATATATAAAATATTGTTTAATATCTTTCCTAACAAAACCCCAAATAATTAAATTCTAATCAAAGTACGAGCCTGTTCGGCCATATTTCATTCTTACAGCTTGCCCGGGTCTTTCCTTAATTCGTATCAGTTAGTCACTTTCTTATATTTATGAACAGACTTTACCTACTCCAGCCCTAAAGTAAGGTTCATGTTAGTATGAATATTAAAAACACATTTATAAATAAATAATAAAATTGGCGTTTCCCATAAGCAGGTTTATACCATGAAAACTTCAATGTAACATAACTTTAAAACTTTACCAAAAACTAATAGTTAGGTAAGAATCTCAACAAATTCCAGTATAACGGGGTACCGTTTGGGGATTTATGGAATAGTACACGATTAATTATCGGTTTCCCCGTCGACAATCGTCACGACCCCACAACGGGTCCCAATCGGTGCATGCATAGCGATCGCCTCAACTCGGAAGCTTCCCAGGAACGGCAGGCGCCATCGGGAACCGTTTAAGAATGTCCTCGCCGAAGGCTTCGAAGTTGTTCACCGGGTCAGTCCTCAGTTCTCGTGCAATCGTCGAATCAATCAGTCCGAACGCGAACTGCCGGGAGCTGAAAGCTCGACACCACGCGGACCGAACGCTGCCTTTCGCATTTTCGCGCGGCAGTTTCAAAGTTTAACAATTTGTTGATTTCGTTTGGCCGGCGATTTTTTATTTGGATGCTGACACACGTAGGTCCCACACTTGATTTGTTGTTGCGTGTTTTTTTTTTTTTAAGTACGACCCCAGATAATTGAATCAGAGCAGTGTGTGTTCTTCAGCGTTTTTGTTATCCGGCGAAACCTTTTTTCCAAATTTGTTTTATGAAATTCTTTTGAAACAAAGATTTGCTATATAAACTCTATCTTAAGATTACAACTTACACAAAAAAAAATATTTAGAAGGAACAGCAACTAAAACAAATATAATTTAAATAATGTAAATTTTATCTGAACGTATAAGGTAATGGATGGAATACAATCTTTGAAGGGCACTGTATTAGAACAGGAACAAACTGGTATATATATATATATATATATATATATATATATATATATATATATATATATATATATATATATATATATATATATATATATATATATATATATATATATATATATATATATATAACGATTTGAAAAGAATATCGGCTATATTATTTATTTATTTACTTTGACATTTTTTATTTCGGTTGATATTTGTGGTACAGTTGTATGTGATCAGTTTAAATGCATATTGTAATTTTATACTCGCTACTAAAGACCCTCACACAAAATGTGCAGAAAACAAAAATTACCGGTAAGCCGATTCAATAAATATTGTTTGATCACCAAACAGTGAATTATTTATAATGATTATGTTGAAATATTTTAAATGTTGATTAATGGCGTACGTAGATATTAATTTGATAAAGACACGGTGTTGCCGAAACAATTGTCATACCATAATATATAATTTCGTGAAAATCTGAACTTTTAGTTCTCATTTATTTCGATAAATGGATTTTCATCAAGTAAAAGCCACCTCAGTTCAATTATTAATTTTAAGATTAATTAAAACTTTTTTTAAAATTTAAAGTATTGTATAAGGATAAATGAAAAATTATTTAGCACCCCACCACATCCATTTTTTGCATAAAATGTAAAGCGATTAGGGTGTGATTTGAAGTTTTTCTCGTTTAAAATCAGACAGAATCAATTTAAATTTGCACGTAAATGTTCATAGTCCGGCCTAATTCAGACAAAAGTTTTTCATGTTTTTTTCGAACCTAATTTACAAAGGCATGTCTGGTTTTGAATAGACGCTCATAACTGGCATTTTGTATGATCTGTATCTACTAACTGACCAAAACAAAAATATAAGTTACATTTTAAATATAAATTTAAAAAATAACATAAAAACCTAGTTGAAGATTTTAAGTTATTCAATCTTTTCAGTCATCTCAGTGATGAAAACAAATAAGAACCAAAAGTACAGATTTTCACTAAATTATATGTGTGTGTGTGTGTCGAAACAATTGTCATGTAAAAATATATAATTTCGTGAAAATCTGAGCTTTTAGTTTTTATTTATTTTGATAAATGAATTTTCATTAGGTAACAACCAACTCAGTTCAATCTCAGTGATGGATTACTAGCTCCTTAGCAATAGTTCCACAAACACTAATTTGATATTCAAATCAACTTTTGGTTAAACATGCCGAGTTTATTATTGTCGACAATCTGGTGAATGCGCATAGTTTGCCTCGAAGTATCTATTCAAATTTGGACTAATCAGGTTTATAATTGTGATGTGACAGCAGACGGGCACACCTATTTATTATCCTTCATGTGGCAGTTTAAAAAATCAAAAAACAAGATGACAAACTGCGTTGAGGAATAAAAATTGTAGATACAGAGAGGTTCGTAAAAAACACCCACTGCTGTAGTATTCTGCCACCCACTGCTGTAGTATTCTTGATTACTATCCGATCTCAAAAACTCAAAAACCACATTAAATAATTTCAAGTGCGCAACAACTTTTCGGAACATTTTCTTGTAAAAATATCACATTTTTATTTAACTTTTATAAGGCGAATGAAATTCAAAAGGGTCGGCCACGAAACTAGAGATATTGATAAATATCACTTTATTTCTTGTGTAATTTCCCAAAATCTCCTGTTCCAAAGTTTATTCCGTTGAATCGCCTCGCTTTCAGGAAATTCATTAGCGGCGCTAGATGACCAAGCTTGGCAGAAGTATGTCTGCTTTACTCCTAACCATCGTAGGCATCTCAGCGTTTCAACAGTGTCCAGTTTGGAGGGAAATCGCACCCTGTGCCTGCCGCCGTTCGCAAGCAAAGCTCTCTTCTATTACGTGCGACAAGATGGGCTCTTACGGCCAGGTTAGTTTTGTGCTATCCTTCCTGTTCCGACTTAATCTACCCAATTTCAGGTAGTGAATTTGTTGGGAGGTCATTTCGGACCCACCGACAGGGTCTCCCTTAAATTGTCGTCGTCGAATCTGCAGGATCTCGAATATAGAGCGTTCAAAGAATTAAATGTATCTATCGAAAACCTAAAACTAAACCACGACCACATAGGGTAAGTGAATGTCGCCTGGCTTTATTCTGCACTTCGGTATCATCTCCGATAAAACAAATAAACAATTTTTTGGAGAATTTGGTATTGACATAAATTAGAATATATTATCGGGCCACATGTACAAGCTATCTACATTGTTTTCATAACGTGGTTATTAAGTAGAATCACACGCCAATGACAAATGAATAAATAATCATTTACTTTGTGTTTGTTGTTATAAGATATAAAGCTCCTCCTATATATGTGTGCCATGTTTGCAAGTAGATTCACTGGTTTTGTATACATTTTATCAATCAAAATCAATCAGTTAGCTCAATCATACCAATCACAATAGCACGAAAAGGGAATTCGGAGCAGGAATCAATACTGAAAAACAGCCATATTATTAATACTAATTACATCATCCACTCTATATCATCCACGGCAACAGAACAAAAGAAATGAAAAAAGCAGAAATAAATGATAATACTTTTTCTTGTAGAATTTATAACCCAAACGAAAATTCTTACATATATTGTTGTTCATTGGTTAATTTTAACTGTATATGTTTTTGGCTTATTGGATGATTTGTTTTGATAGCTATAAGTGTACAAGATTTTCACTTAACACCAGTTTTCTATTTAAATGTTAAATATATTTAAACTTCTGGAAAATTTTCATATAAAAATGACCACTCAGTGGCGTCATAGGATAGCAAATCAAACATCAGATATAGGATCGAGTTGCGCGGAAATTTATATTCTGTGCTGTGCGGAAAAATCGTTAAAACCAAAACTAAAAAAAAAAGATTTATGCTACCTTCTGCCAAGGGCATCTTAATATAATGTACAGTTAATTATCATATATTTAGGGGGATGGTCAATGTTATCAATTTAGTTGAAGTTACAAAAAGTCAGTTATTAAGGTTCTACATTTTTTTTTAATAAATGCGGTTTTAAAATCTAAAACACACCAAAACTATTTTCAAGCATTTAACGGCGAGCAAAAAAAACTTGTTCTGATAATTCATTATTTTATGGTCAGATTGGTTTACACTACTTGTAAATACTAGTACTTTGACAAAATTAAATATCAAGTTATCCCCAAAAGATTAAATCTTTTAGACACCTTGGTCTTCAATCAATTGGGATATTCCAACACGTTAACCGTCAATTAGATACTAATAACTCTGGCAGATACTGCCTGCCTTAATTTGTTGAGGAGTAGTAGGTATAGTTTATCTCTAAGTATACCGTGTTGGCCTTTATCGAAGTTAACTGGGGACGCCAATAAAACTTAGCACCAGCAGGCTCTAAAGGACAGAATATTAGTTACGGACTCTGAAGTATGATTTGTCCAATAACAATATGTAATAAAATTGCAAAAAAGGTTTATTGGGTACGATACCTTTAGACATTTATATTTTAAAAAATTGAAAATATTCTGACGTTTCTCAGTTCTCTGTTCAGCATTCATCATCGCGTAAACGCAACTACACTGTTTTGTCAAAATGTTACTGTCATAGAAAAAGTATAAACTTTATTACAATTACAAACTTCTACATGATTGTCATCATGACTTACATTAATGGAACTATAAAATAATAAGTCAAGAAATTTCGGTTGTGGGCTGAATATGAATTCGCACCTTAACACGCGATATGTCACTAGTAAATCGACATCAAAACACACACGCAATTTGCCAAATAACATTTCTCGTCACAGTAATGACGCTTTTCCTTATTATTGCACAAATTCGTAACGGAGAGACGCGTAATTAAACAATTTATCAATTAAAATTTAGTGTAGGTTTTTTAATTCACTAAATACTCTCTTTGCATATAACATAATATCGGGATGTTCCAGTAACGACGTTTCCCACCCGCCATTTTATTGATCGGCAAGGCCATCCCTTATGTTTGGGTTTATTTTATTAGCAAATGTTCAAAACTGTTTTATTATCGCCTCAAGTACACTAACCAAAACATGTTGTGATGTATTAAAATCTGTCTCGCGTAAACATCGGCAATAAAAAATATATTATTTTTATTTATTTGAATCTAGTGATTAAAGTGACAAGTGGGCCACCACACGGCCATATCAGGCAACGTTGGCACCAATTTTGTAATATTTATGATGATAAACATGTCGTGGATATTATAAAATCAAAAAACAATATAATGTGGCAAACTTGGATATTTCTATAGATCTCGGTAACTATAAGCGGTACAGATGGTACATGCTCGATCGTCTTTTTTGAGAGGAACTCAATGGTTCAAACAGGAATAGGTATTTTGATTAATTTCAATAGATTTCGTATTTTTCACGTTACAAAGGGATGTTTACACATTATTGAGGTACGTTTTCGAGTAGAATGGATTTGCCTTTACAGATTTTGATTCTTCTATCAACTCGTAGCTGGCTATGAACTAATTAAATAAACTAAATAGACCAACATGGCCGTTGACAGTTCGCCAATTCCACAGGTTTCAGTTTATTTGTAGCATTTTCTTGTTTTTTCTTCTACACGAAAAATGATAGCGGCATCAATTTTTATTGTTCTTACGGCCATTATATTATCTAATAGCAATTTGCAGTTAACTAACATTTTTGAGTAAGAATTAAACAGAAATGCAGATAAAAGTTAAACATTTTGGAGAAACAAATATATATATACCAAGAGAAAAAAAATGGTTGAAGAAATTGAAAATCAATAAATAATTAAAAATCGCATGAAGAGCTTTTTTATTGAGATTATATGGGTAACTTCTAAACTATTAAAAATACAGAGTCAGTTATTTTTAAAAAAATCTTTGATTTTGATATTTGCTCCCTGGCACATTGATTTGCTGTTTTACAAAATGAAGTTATGTCAGTTTTAAAATGCACAAAAATACAGCTTGTTCTATGTAAAATTTCAATGTTGATAGGAGTAGTTCATTTTCGTAAAACAACACAAATACATTCGCTGACATGACCGTCAGAATTGACAAACGTCAAAATTTAAAACATGGGAAATATCTCCGAAAACATCCGATGGCTCCTAAATCCGTGTGGTAAAATTCCGGAAATGTCTGAAGTGACTCGGATTCATGGGAAACGAAACTGACGTGGTGGGTAATTAGGTATTTTACAGACGGGAGTAGAAAATAGTATATTATGCAACAAGTGCCGTAAACGTCATTTGACTCACGAGTTTATTTGACATGAGCGGAGTGCAGCGGAGCGAGTTTTTAATAAACGAGTGAGTTAAAAAGTTTACCGAACGTGTTGTATACTATGCTTTTTCTACGACCGTTAGGTTTTGGGTCCATTTTCGCAAAACAACACGAATACATTCACTGACATGAACGTCAGAATTTACAAACGTCAAAATTCAAAGCGTAGGAAATATCTCCGAAAACATCCGATTGCTCCCAAACCCGTGCGGTAAAATCCCGGAAATGTCCGAAGTCTCTCGGATTCATGGGAAACGAAACTGACGTGGTAAAGTGACGCTTCCCGCACGCTAGATCGGTGGGTAATTAGGTATTTTACAGGCGGGAGTAGAAAAAACGAATTACTTCCCAAGAAACTGAACTTATTTTTCAAAATTGAAAATAAATATACTTAGATCAAAGAATTTGGTTCTAACCACCACAGTCCACTCTTGATACTTTATACAAAACTTTTATCCATTTAACCGACTCTATATGTAATCGTTTACTAAAAGACTGGCCGATATTAATATGTATTAGACGAAAAATATATTGCACATGTACAAAAATTGAAAAGAATATAAAGAAAGCTTTAATGAGCAGGAAGAGGACCAAAAAACAAAGACTTTTTGATGTATTTGTATTATTTTTACTTATTATTATTAATCTATAGTGTTGTAATAACATTTATTAGTTTGGTTGGGTAACGGGAATCAAAAGCCTGAATAGTAATTTAAGCTAATTTGTTTCAATTCGACCCAAAAATCTTTGGGAAACGAAAATCAATGTTGCTTATCGGTTTTCAAAAGCTGCGTATATTATTACCTTAAAAGGTAATAACAAATTATTTAGATTCTTGGAAACCATTGATTACATTTCGCAAAATGATTCGATATTTCATTATACGCGATCGGATTTATCAAAACAGCCAACCGGTTTTTGCTGCCCGTATTGCATTACGTCCATTGTAAATTATTTTAAATAATCAGAATAATATTATTATTTATTACAACTTCCACGACTATCTAGGCGCCACGTATATCGGACCGTTTTATGGCTCGTAAAAGCGATAATTTTTTCAAAAGAGACATCAAATCCAAGTTCAAATTACTGAAAGAATGTCACCTGTTTACTGCCGTGCCCGCATCCAACGCTCAGTTTCTTGTTATCAGCAGTATCGAACACGAATCCAGTTACATTGTCCCTGCAATGCTCCACTTGTTGAGTTCCTATAACTGAATTTAATTTAACTACGCCAGTGTCAGTTTCTAATGAAAATACACACGCGCTTATTTCAATATTATCTTTTCTAAAGCTATTGTCATTTCTAAATGCATGTCTGCCAGCAAAGGCAAAACGATCACGTACAGTATGTCCTATTTTTGATAGTTTTTAGACGTATCTCACTTATTAATAAGGCCTGCGGCCTTGGTAAGATTTTAAATAAATATATGGACTTGCAGTCACGAACGCCACTGATGTTAAAGTTAAAGATGTTTGCAATGTTCTTCGCCACATTAAGAAATGAAATTCAAATATATTGTGTTTTTTTCTCATTTTCTACGCGTTGCTAATATTTAAAATAACAAAAAAAAAACAAGTTTGCAAAAGACAGAAAGACATTTTTTTTCGTATTTCCAAATAATAAGGGCCCTATTTGTGTATAATACAAAAACACTTAAATACAAAAATAAATAAAACTAGAAACGTCAGAAAAAATGTGCACTAATTATAATTAAATTGCTACATACATACGGCCAAGTATTTAAAAACTGTACATAGGTTAACAATTTATTAGAAATATTGTGATTATAAACTAAAATCA